AAGGAAAAAAAGAGTTTGGGACAGTTAGGGCAGTTGGAGAGAGAGAGAAGAAGAGACAGAAAAATATAGAGGGATTGAAAATGTTGAGATAGACAGTTAGGTTAGGAGTAAGACAAGAACTTGGAAAGTTAGTGTATTTGAGAACTGAAGGAGTTAAAAGTAATAAGAAATAAAATAAACTGTTGGAATATTGGAACACCGTGATTAAAGTGAATCTATATAATCTATATAAGTAAATATGTCTAAAGTCCAAAGCATGTTTAATGAATGAATAATACAAGACCATCCATGAGTTTCCTTATGTGATTTACCTATTAACCTATAAATAAACATAGTTATATTTCAGCATAAAAATCCATTGTTCATATTTGATACAGTGAGGAGAATATCCTCTGGTGGCAGCATAAAAAGGAAGAAAAGAAAAAGTCGTGCCCAAAGGCAAACCTGGGTGTTAGGGAAAACAAACAGGGGAACTGGGGGTGTGCAACAATGATCTCAAAGGTGGCTGAGATATAAAAGGTGGACAAGCAAGGACATTTTGTCCGTTGGCCTCCCTAAGTAGGTCAGTCCAGCAGGGCAACCAGTGCTGTTTCCCTGCTGTGGCGCAGCCTGAAGCCTGACTGAAACAGATCCAGGGCATCGGTTTCATCCAAGAGAGCCTGAAGCTGGTCGGCCACCACCATCTCAACTACCTTACTGAGAAAAGAAAAATTGGCAACGGGCCTATAATTACCAATGTTGTCTGTTGCCAAGCACGGTTTCTTTCTAATGGGCCTAATGAGTGTTTCTTTAAGGTTAAAAGGAACCTTGCCCTCAAGAAGAGACCCATTTATTATTTCAGTGGCCCATTCAGTTATCACTGGCCTGGCAGCTTTGATTAGCTAGGCAGGGCAAGGGTCAAGGGAGGAGGTGGTGGCTTGGCAGCGATCTTGTCCACCTCTGCGGACATCACAGGTTGAAACTGAGTAATTTTCAACTGACAAGGCACTGCACTGGATGTCTCAGCTCGATCCACTGTTTTCAAATGGGGTGCAAGATCCCGGCGGATGGCCTCCACTTTTGATTTTTAAAATGCTGCAAATTGGTCACAAGAAATGCTAGATGGAGGCCAATCATTGTGGCCAATTCCGTATAGATTGGGGACCAACCAAAGGTCACTCACCATTGGCCCACACTCTCTGCTCAGTGGAGTAAACCAGGTACTATACAGAAAAGTTCCGCCTGCTGATTGGATGCTTCGCTTATCCAGACAACGAATCAGGCTTTTCTAGCAGCCTCTACCTTAGCAAGATAGTGGTTAGGTGTGACCTTGGCAGCTTTTAAGTTATTTTCTATCAGGTTCTGCCTCCAGACACTCTCTAGCCTTCTCCTATTCCACTTCATAGCCCGCAGCTGCTGGTTAAACCAAGGTGCTGGTCAGGCTCTGCAGCTGAGAGGGCGCTTAGGAGTGATAGTGTCTACAGACCTGGCAGTGGC